TTCTTTAATTTCTTACCGATATACAAACACACGCTACAATAGTTTATGTTGTAAGATCATACAAATATTTAAATGAGGCTATAAAACAGTAAACAACTTGTGTAATGTGTACGGTTGTTGTGACACAACGTATGAGGCTATAAAACAGTAAACAACTTGTGTAATGTGTACGGTTGTTGTGACACAACGTACGAGGCTATAAAACAGTAAACAACTTGTGTAATGTGTACGGTTGTTGTGACACAACGTACGAGGCTATAAAACAGTAAACAACTTGTGTAATGTGTACTGTGTTGTGACACAACGTAACAGACCCACTGATATCACTTATAATGTTATGATGTTTCCAACTATCGTTCGACGAGTCTTACATAAAACTTGAGAATTAGGGTAACCTGGGCCTATATGTTTCTGTTTATCTGTTGAAAAACTTTCTGAATTCGAATTGCGAATCTATTTTCTTTTAGGGTCCTGTGATTAAAAAAATATTTCTGCGTCTTCCACACAATTATGAATTGTATTTTGTTACAGCTTGTAGCAACAATGCTAAAACTGAAAAGTTGAAAAACTTTCCGAATTCGAATTGCGAATCTATTTTCTTATTAGTCCTGTGAATAAAAAAACATTTCTGAGTCTTCTGCACGATTATGAATTGCATTTTGTTACAGCTTGTAGCAACAATGCTAAAACTGAAAAGTAAATGTTTATACTGAATTTTCATAAAAAAAACATTAAGCATGTAAAAATAATATTTTGAGTGTGACGTTCTTGACTAATTACTATTACACTAATATTTCATAAAGTTACCTTTGATTTACAACAAAAAAAGATAAGTTACAGAAACAAGTCTAGTTTACAAACTTGCGCAAAAACGTGTTTGGAACTTTAAATAAAAGCTGCTTTACAGTACTTGTCTAGAACTAAAACAAACAAAAAAGAATCAATGAAAATCTGTAGTTACACAAAGACTTCTTAAAGGTCTGACCTGAATTGTAAACAGAGCATTCAGACTTGTACCGTGAACAAACCTTCATAAAGGAATGACTTGTACTATAAACAAATGTAGTTGTTTTTGGCACATCAGTCATACTAGTATTTTGAATATTTACTTATTATTAAAACAAATATTTTTACACTAATTTATGTATAGACCTTAAGGACATATATGTAGTTAAAAATCTTGATAACTATTCCAAACAATACTGGCACAAGAATTTAGTAAGTTTAACTATCAAAACAAAACAACTAGACATACAAAGATATTTATATCCAGTTACTTGGTGTAGAAACTGATTACACGATTGTTGTTAGGTTGAAAACAATAGCCATTTGTTGTACTTAGTTGTTTTATATATTTAACATTATGTTCTTCAAGGGATGTGACTGGCCATATACAACACGAATTTAATGTTTTGTTTGGTTTTTTGAGTGGGGGGTAACCTTGGTAAACTAACTCACCTTTGTTTTATTTACATTTGTTATAAGACAAACCTTTTCTTTTCTGCCTCTACCTCAGTATGTTGTTTATACTAGCGGTTGAAATTATTCCAAAATAATTTGATTTTTTTTTTACACAATGGGATAACCTGCTAAGTTAGAAATCTCTATGATTCAGTCATAGCTCTATCTAATTTTCAAATGCAGATTGGAGGGAAGATAGTCAATCAGTAACATGTGCTGCTTGGATACTTTTAACCAAAAATCAGGACTGGCTGATACTCTTATAATGCATCCCAGTCTGATACACAAATCACAAGGTCAGGCTTGGATCAAATAAACTATAAAACAAAATTTCAAACGATTAAAAAAATATTTGTGTTTTTAAAAACATCTTAATAGTTTTCTAAAGCTCTTTAGCAATGCAGTATTATTGGCTGAAGTCCTATTTTTCTCTCAAAGCAATCCCATGTTAGCTTTTTCAATACCTTACTAGTTGAAGTCTTACTTTAAGAAATTCCAAATATGGGAAGGAATGCAAACATTGCAAAAACACAAAAATTGTAAACAAATTGCATTACAATAGAAACAGTTAAATGCGATATAAAATTCCAGTTAATAACAGCAAAAAATTGTATCACTTTTAACAGAAATATCTTGATTACAACTGTAAAGAGTGAATTCTTCAGTGATTATTTGATTCAAACAGTAGTTGTCTGTGTAAAATATGTTTATTATATTCTTTCAAACACAGTATCATGACTAACTCCTACTAACATAACCGACAAACAACATAGTACTACTAGCACAAGAGTATAATATTTATCTCACATAATTTAATGAGTCCAACAAATAAATTTTTTAATGAAATTCACCTAATACACATTTAAACTCATTACTGGAAACAGTCATCAAATGAAATTTACCCTCTGGATATGAGCAATGACCTACACAATTTAACAGTTGTTAAAGGTGTTAGTGAGTTTCACTTGGTCATTAAAAGGAACAATCCTTGATTCTTCCACATGTACTGAGAGAGTAAGGTAAGGATAAGGCCAATCGGCCCATCATGATAACCCCGTCAAAATCAATCAAGGCATCAATGGCTACATTTAGGTTTGCCTTTCACATTCATGTACTTCTTTTTCAACATAATCTTTAATGAAACTAAATCATTACAATTGAAAATATAATTAACAAAGATAATACTAAACTGATGAAACAATGTATTCTAATATTTATAAGTAAGAAAGAAGAAAAGTACATTCGATTAACTATATTCATTACCAGGTTGATTTAGTTTTACTCTTAAGTAGCTTGCTCTGGTCAGAAATTAGCATTAACATCAGGTAAAATTTATTCTACAAGTTTACAGCTTTAAATACACACAAAATGTTACTGAAGAATAAGCGTAAATATGTGCACAGTAATTTAAAAGTTATTACACTTAACAATTTCCATCACATTTCCAACCTTTTAATTCCACCACTCGTAAAGACAGATTATCTTAGCCTCTAACAATTTTAAATATTTGAATTAAGTCACCTTTAGTTCTTCTACGTGTATGCAGTTTAACTTAGTAGTTAATATATGTTATACCCTTTTAAGTACTATGCTTAAAAATTAAAGATAACATTCTAAGTCATTTTAGTGATAGAGGCTTTGTGTCAAATTTCATAATGCTTGTGATGAGAATCACCTGACTATTTGGATTTAATTGTATTAATTAGTTACAAACAAAGAATCGTTTTAATTAAGAGGTTCCACACAAGTTCACAGCTATCTATTTTTTGTATGTGTTTTTCTATTGAAACAATTTACAGAATTATGAAAATACAAAAAAAATGGTTTAAAGCAGAATTTTTTTTGATCATTCTACTAAATTTTCTTCACTAAAATCAAAGTTGCAAGAAATGTCAATAAGAAGCAGCTCAATATTGCAATGAAAAAAAGTGACCTATTAAAATAATAAATAATTTAAGATATGTGAATTTAAAAAAGCATCTAAAGATTTACAGCATTGAGGAAAAAAAGACAACTGAACATTTCACAAGTATTTCATTTCATTCATGCTTTGACAGGCCAAACCATGGTAGCAATAAATGAAATACTATTGAAATGTAAAACCGTCTTTGTTACCCTTAGTTCTGTGATTATGAAGTTCCACTAAGTTCCAATGGTTTAGGTATTAATTATATATACTTAAAGATTTGGATTTTCTTTCTCTCTGGAATGTAGATGAACAAGAAGCAAGTTTATTCAAATGTTTAAAATTGAACAGTCTTTGATAATAGTTTTACAGTAGGTAGAATAAAAAGGTTGAAAATTCAAAAAGCTTGCATGTTACCAATAAAATATTTAGGTCATCAAAACTTAAATCAACATTATTTACCAAAAACAAATCCTCTGTTAATTATCAACTAGCTATGGTTTAAATGATGACATGCTATGTTCATTAGTGATTTAGTTTGAATTTTGAAAAGGCAGTAAGATGGAGAAGAATGTACAAAGAAGGCTACATGACCTGCTGTGTTCTTTAGTGTTTTAATTCAAAATTTTGAAAAGGCAGTAAGACAGAGAACTTGTATTGAAGTTACAAGGAAGGCTACATTTACTTCCTTTTTTGGTATTTTAGTAGGTGAAGTGTGCAACAATTGTGAAGTTTTTTTCATGTATATTAAAATTTAAAGTCATTTCCTGTGTTTCACAATTAATTCGATATTAATTTGCCAGTTACACAGTGATAGATCAAAACTAGCATACAAATATCTAAATTCCTTTAGCAATTGGAAAAGTTTATTTTTATTATTGTTAACATTCATAACTACTATAATATTAATGTACTATCAATTGAAGCAAAATATATCAAACAACCTTATGAAAGTGTTTTACAATACCAGTACGTAATGCTATAACTTGTATAATAACTATCTGTTCAGTGAAACAAAATTTTTGGTTTCACCAATCTGGATTGAGTAACTCTTAATTTGTAAGCTTCAGCTTTACTTCAATAGTTAATCACCATTTTATATTACTATACCACAACCTCATGTAATACTAATTGATAAGCCAACTTTTGTTTAAAATAGCACATAAAAAATTTACTTTGCTCAGCTAAAGCGTGAAAATAGATCTTGCCTCAATACGTAAATAAAGAAAATTCAGTTACCAAAAGCATACATAAAAATTTAGCAAAACGTAAAAACATTTTGGTTCGGTTAAAAATGTTTAATATTTTATTTTTAATCTAACTCTGGAAAAATTAATTTCACTATAAAGTATATTTTTATAATTATTTAAGCCTGCTCTCTGATTTAATTTGAAACTATTATTTTAAAACAGTGGTAAGCTATTAAATTCCTAGTTCTAATTATATATCCGATTTCACACATTATTTAAATATCATTTTAATGACGCCATTTTGAAACAACTATCAACTTATCTTTTGTTTATCCGTTGTTATGCAATATAAAAAATAAAACACAGTGAGAAAACGTTTAAAAAATTATAAGTTTCTAAAGATACACCAAACATATTTTTGAGAGCTGAATTAAACAGCTTACCATTTAAAACTTTAATAGCTTTCTCTGCGGCCTGTTCATCGGGACATTCAACGAAGGCATAACCGCCTTTCTTCACAAGAACACTTTTTGGAACAACTCTCGATCGTTCGTGAAATAATTCCCGTAAAGACTCTTCGTTAGCTTCAACCGGTAAATTCCCAATGTACAGTTGATTCATAACTAAAGTGTGAACTTGAACAAATTACTTAAGTTAAGATTAGAATAAAAACGGAGGTTGAGTGAGGCCTGGCGTACAAAGCTTACGGTAAACTCGGAAAAGGGCTGAATGTTCGTGTAAGAAAGACAATCACTGTTCTGTCAGAGAAATACGTCGTCCAAAATGTGGCTACCACGTGCTCACCTAACACGTCACGTGACTCATGTGGTTTCCCGCCTTATTTTTAGTCTTATTCATGCGCTGACTCATTAGAACTTTACTAATGTTTATGAATCTTTACATTTTTTATCGTACACATTTTATGCTTTGCAGAAAAAAATATTAAACATTTTATCGTAATAACTTCAAATATTTATCAATCCCCATTGATAATCGTCCAAGTTTAACGGAAAGAAAGTGTGACCAATAACAGCAAGGAACAAATGACGTTTTACATGAATAACCAATCTATTCTGATATGTAATATCTTGCCAATAATTTGGATTTAAAACCTTATACTTCGAGGCCTGAAAGATAATCAGGGGCTTAGAAACAAATAACCAATCAGTTTATTGAGAACGTTTATATTTACTTTAGGAACTTTGTTTTGATTGTTTGTTTAATGTTTTTATAGTTAAGCACAAAGGTACCCAATGGGCTATCTTTGCTGTGCTCCCCCCCCCCTCTACAGGTATCTAAACCAAGTTTTTAGCATCATACTTCTTCAGACTTCCCACTGAGGTTTTTTTTTCAAAACTGAAAAGAAACCCGTTTTTTAGCGTTAGAAGTCCGCTGTGCTATTGGGGGCAGAACTTTGGTACAAAGACACTTACATAAAATGAGCAAAATTAAAATGGTTACGAAACATATAATCAATATAATATTGTTACAAGAAACTAATTTAAAAATTTATTTAAAGAATAAGAGCAATCTTCGACAAACAAATATTTACAATTAAAGTTTTCGTTATTGAAATCCTATCACATAAATTATCTATATATATTTTTATGTGTGTGTGTAAGTTTTCACATTAATATAAAAAAAAATTAAAGAGGTGTGGACGGACATGCGTCAATATAAATATGGCACTGGGCAACAGAAAAGAAGTGTTTTAATCCACCTCAGTTGCCGAATGACGTCCTTTCGACATTTTGTGAAAAAGCGTATATAAACCTCTCTCCTCCCCTCCTTCTCCTGTCCCCCGTTGGGACAGCGGAAAGTCTTCGAATTTACAACGCTAAAATCAGCGGTTCGATTCCCCTCGGTGGACACAGCAGATAGCCCGGTGTGACTTTGCTATGAGAAAAACAACACACACACACACCTCCTTCTCCTCCCTAGCGTGCGTTGTGAAAATGAAGAATGTTTAACATTTTCCCTTCATATTG